CCTTTGAACATGCTATGTCCTTGGCTGAAAATACTCTGTCATCTTTCTCTTAACTGACTACTCTTCTTGTCTTTAAAGTCTCAGTTTAAATGTTACTTCCCCAGAGGTGTCTTCCTTGAACCCTAGAAAACATCTGATCTCCTTTTACATATTCCCAGAGCATCTTCTTATCTGAGTGACTTCTCACAGTGGTGATTAAGTACTTAACTCATCCTGAATTGTTTAATGCCTGTCTCATCACTGGGATGTAACGTCCAGGAGGGCAGGGGCTGCATCCACCGTGTTCACACACTATCCCCCGCTCCTGGCATGGGACCTCACTCATAGTAGCTATGTGAAGAGTATTCATTGAATAAATGAAAAAAAGAACAAATGAGTTGATCAATCAAGGATTGCCTTATTTCAAAGATTCCCCTTGCTGTTTCCTGACCTGTTTTTATTAAAAGAAGACCATGGGATGTGAGCCATGGAGACTTTTACCAAAGTCACAGGTTTACACCCAAAAGTTGTGCCCTTTTCACCCCTGATAAGAACAAGACTTCCTTGGGGGCCGTTTGTCACCCATGGGACCGCAGGCAGCTTTGTCTATCAAATGAGCTGCATCCACTCTGACCAGAGCGATACACTGGATGATGGAAAGATACCCCCTCTCTGAAACAGATGCTTCATTTTATGATGGAAACAGAGACGCCGAAGCCTGCAGGTGCGGGCTGAGCTGACACGGGCTCTGTGGAGAATCATTAGAGCCTCCTTAGAGATGTGGATTTACTCTGTGCTTAATCAGCCACAGGCAGGAGAAACGGCTTCATTTCAGCTCAATGAGAGCCAGATCACAAAAGGAAGATAGATGGCCAATACGGTTCATGACTACAACATATTGTCTTAATTTGAAGGAACAGCCTGGCACCTGTGCTAATCAAGGAGGGGCGTGCAATACAGCTAGCACTGAGGGCCAGCCAGCTTAACTCTCAGTGCACCCCTTAAGGAAAGGCTCTCGTTTGTTTTCTTAATTCATATTTTAAGGAAAGTGAGAACCGTAAGACACATTACTCAATCACTTAAGAAGTTCCCCAGCTTGGAATTCAAGATGCTTAAGAAAGGACTTTCCACACCTGAAATGTCTGAATCTCTACCTGTGAAAAAGTATCGCAGCCAATGAAGGAAGTGCCTTACTTAGGAAGGGTGACCACATCCTGGCTGCTTTTAATATACGGTCATGTTCACAGTTGACCAGAAGGAGCTACAGAGACAGTGTCACGTCTACTGTGTGGATACCTGCTGGTCACTTGTAGGCTCTTGTTTTCAGTGGCTCTGTCCTCTGCTTTTCTTTGGTCCCCCAGAACTTGCCTTGGGGAGGTATGTAAAATGGATATTCGGTTCAGCCGTGGTTAGCTTTGCAGTTGCCTAAAAATGCCAGAAAAGGGATTTGAAGCTTGTGTGGGAGCAATCACATATATCTGAACTCAGCGTCCTTGCCAAACCTCTCTTATTTGAAGTAAAAGCAGATAATGAGTAGTTTGGGTCCTTACAAACAAGTGGATGTTTTAGAATCATTTGATACGTGTCACGTCCATGTTTTCATTCTATCTCCTGAGCCTTCACACAAAGAGCTTTTACAGCCCTCCCCACCCCAATGACTATTTTCCAGATGTTCTGAAACAACATCAAGTGACCCAATTTACCCCTGAGAGGTTTATAAAGGTGCATTTATGGAGAGACTGGCTGAGCAAGGCTGAGATATTCGCTCAGCAGCTTAGTCCAAGATAATCTCCCGCGAACGTGGTAGCGAATCTTACTTTACCTAAGGCACATTCAGTACAGTTTTTAGAAAATGGTATGCTAAACACTCCTAATGTGAAGAAGAAACTTAAGAAGCTTAACAATGGATGTAGAAATATTATCATCAGCTATCAGGGTAATAGTATCCAGTCATTCCCCACCTACAGGCACAGATTTAGGCTTAAGCAGATGAAGACAACACGGTAGGAAGTGTGTGGTCTTGAAATGTTTAAATATCAGCGAGTCAAGGAGAAGGACTTAGTGAACATAAAACCTGAACAAGTGTCATTTGATTTTGTGCTGAATGTGATGACAACAAAATCACAATTGCAGAAAGGAAAATGGCATAGCAAGAGGCATGCTGAGGTTTTGTACAGACCTTTATGGGAAAGCAAGACCGTTGAAACAAGAGGAGTCATCATTTGTAGATAGGAGATTGTTTCGTTCTCTGCACATGGGCAGCAAAGACCAGAGCGGTCCTGGGATCAGAATCCAGGTCTTTGCCTAGGTGGTGGAGGGGAGCCATTTCCCAAGGAGAAACAAGATGTTGCCTTATATTCAGTTATATGAAAAGCACTACCAATTCTCTCCAAACATGGGCATTAGGCGACATGTCAAAATCAGGTAAGAAGGTGGGAGAATTCTTCCACAGCACCTCTGTTATGTATAGATGACATTCAGGGGAATCGGTTCCCCCCTAACCCACAAAGGAAGCAACATGCCAAAGCCTTGATGTGAAAAATACTTAAAGTCTATAGTATGTCAATCACCCAGTGGCTGCCAGGGCAAAATGAACAACTTTCCTGGCATGCCTTCCATTATCACTGGCACCAAACTCCCTGCAGTCATCCTGTTGAGGTCCTTCCCACATGAAAGGGAGAGCAAGCACGTGTGACAGGTTTCTGCTGTCTGTAGATCTCAGAAAGTCTGCTGGTGGCCTGCTGTTAAGCGACCACTTACAGGGGAGACTTTGCAGTGCTGCAAAATGTCACCATCTAACAGATGATGGCCCTTTCGCTGAGTCCAGGAATTGAGCCTCTTCATCTCTTGGAAGGCTGGGAAGTTTCGGTCAGCACTGACATGTTTGTCCAGCTCAAATTGTGGTAGAGAAGTGTAACTCCAACTCTCCTGGTCAGGGGGATGCCTGCTTGAGATGAGATCAACTACTCTTTGCCTTGAAAACTTGTGGTCTGGGCCATTCAAGGCATCATTTTGACTCAATTGTCATTGCTGGTGCTATTTTGATTCCTGCAGCTGATCTGCTCGTAGTTAGAAACATGAGTTATATTGCCCTTATCTTAACATCCTTAACCATCAGTGTTGTTATTGGTCATCAAATTAGCCACTTCCTCTCATTTCAAATCCACTGACAGTTTTGGGTGGTTTGAGTTGAGTGGGTTGGACAGGGGGAAATAGGCGATTTCCTCTGCCTCTTGTAGAGCTAATCTCTCATCCAGATACTGCTAAAGCATCTCTTTCAACAAGAGTCTTTATTCCTAATTTAACAGCATAACTGTAAAGAACAAGTTTCTTCTTTACAATGCTCCAACTCAAAGTCCAAATGATAGATGATTTCCTGGTCCTGAAGAAGACACTTAAGCACTTCTCTTTCTTTCAACAATTTATTCCAGTTTGAACAAAACAGCCTATTTCTCATTTAAGCATAGAGCAAGCGGGTTAGTGTACACAAACAAAAATATCTGGCATCTGTTTAGGTGTTGAGTAAGAAGGACCTAGAAAGAATGTTACCAGACAGAAATATTATTTTCTGTGTCCACCATTCAACATTTGGGGGCTTCTCTCCCCTCAGCACAAATTTCCTCTGTTCTTAAAAGTCCTTGCTGACAGTCTGCTGAGAAAACAAACTTTCTTACCTTGGATCTTTGGATATTATCTGAGTCTGCCTTGGTAGCCCCAATAAAGGAAACTTGTAGTTCTTAATCTTTGCATTCCTTTGTTGTGCATAGACCCCTCCCCTTGTCCCCAGAAACTCCACTCCCCCCACCAGTCCACCCACCAAGTAACTACTTGGGCTGCTCAGGTGGTCAAGCTGGCCCTGAATCTAGAAAGTATCCATGGTTTCATCTATCCCAACGAGTTCTTCTTTCTCCAAAGTAGAACATTTATTTCAGCTAACTTGTTTTGTTCAGGGTGGTACCTCTTAACTACCAAAATGTCATTTCTGTGGAAATTATTTCTGCACAGAAACATTTGCAAACATCTTCAAAAAGGAATCCTCCTTCTTTACTCCAACAGAAGTATAGCTAAGTTACCACATGTGTTTCTAAAATCCTTTTTCCGTTATAAAAATCATCCCTTTTCTTTCTTCCTGATCAGCAGGAAGATGTATATATGACCACGCTCTCTACCCAAGGGTGAAGCGTTATATATTTTGCCATATGTACTTGGCCCACAGAGGCTCAAAGGGGCTGTAACACCTTTGAGCATAATAGTGATTTTAAGAATCTTGTGACAGGTTTTCCAACTGCCAGGTCTTTGGGGAACTGAGACTCGCTTCTTCCATGGGTGTCTCTCTCAAGGGAGCAATTCAAATCAGGAGTGATTGGCGCTTCTCTCCCATATTCATAGTATGTAATGAGAGTCCAAGCGTCCAGAATTCTCCCCCATGTGGAACCTTCCTAGAAGGTTGAGCCATCCTTATAAAGAGGAATCACCGCCACTCAGAAAACTTCTGTCAGCTTCCTTCTGTGCTGCGTGAACATAAGACTCATCTGAGTAAAGCGTTATGAGAAAATTCATGCCTCATCACAAAGAAACAGCTGTGTATTGCCACAGTCACTAACTTTTGAAAGATGTTAAAGAAAAGTGTTCATTTCAAGCCAGTCACTGCAGCTACAGCTTCCCCTTCAGATTTTAATATCATGGTGTCTCCTTCTGGTCCTCTAAGTGTTACTCCATTTCTCTGATAGAAGAGAGGAAACCAGGGCCTGTAATTTATGGCTCCTATTAAGAGGGCTGGCTAGATGTGTGGACAATATGTCAATAATTATTTCTGGTGGGGCCCTAACAGCATAGGAAGTGCCTCTGTAGAATGGCTTATTTTAACAGAAGACAGATATGCCTGACCTGGGTTTTATGACAGATGTCAAATATATCGAAGTGTGTTGTGAAGCAGATCGCCTTATTGGCAAAGAAATGAAAGACCACCAGGAAGATAGATGGGAAGCTTTCCTCCAGGGTTTTCTTGTCTCTTTGCACAGGTACCGCAGTGAACCTGAAGAAGTGCCAGTGGGCAGGTGAGAGTGGAGACGTCAGTGAGCAGTCTGAACTTCTGCCTGTCCGTGACTTGGAAACCAAAGTCCCCAAACCCTGGAGGGTTGATGGGAGAGTGCAGGGTGGGGTGGGGGAGCAGGCTGGGTACTAGGATGATGTGAACGAGGCCACTCTGAGAGTGAGCACCTTCTTACATGTGACACTCTAGGTGCCTCCTGGACCCATTCAAAAAATGTTGGTTCTCCAGCCTTCCTTCCCAAGGTCAGTTTGACAAATACTTCTTGAGGGTCCACCCTGTGCCAAGTGCCATGCTTAGTGTTGAAAGTTCTTGCTGAATACCACAGGCTTCTGGCTCTGACCCCTGCTGCAATCATAGACCTCTCCGCCTTCCTTCTTCTGGATCCCTCTACTTTGGGAAGACACAGGGTCTTTGGGTCACTTATTAGCTGCTGGGTGGCCTAGCGTAAGTTGATTCACTTCTCTGAAGCTTGTCTTCCTCAGCTGGAAAAAGGGGCTTGGACTCCTGCCTCACAGAGTGGAGAAGATTGAACGTAACAGTGTCCTTATGCTTGCCCCAAAGATTACACACAGAAACGATAAAGGGGGAGGCGACCACCACCCCACTGTTTACCTTCTAGCTCATGAAGACTGCTTTTTCAGGTAATTTATATCACCCTCAGCTGAAACGATCTGCTGTTAGATACAAGCCTCCTGTATCTGTAGGCGCTGAGCTCTCTTCATCAAATATGGTTATCAGAAAACTGTGCCCCTTGGGACAAACGAATTACAAAAAGGCCACCCTTCCTTCAGGCGGGTGTAGCCAGCACTGGATGCTCAGTCTGGTGGGAGAACCAACTGGATTGCCACTGTCCCTTCGGCTGGGCACCCTTGTGCCAGGCACAGCCTTCACGACTGTCTATGATGGTCCTGCCAGCACTTCACACGGGTCTTGGCCCGACATACACACTCAGTAAATGTTTTCAGACTCGATTACAGTCACTGTTGTGTCTAGAATGATGGCATTATATTTTCAAAGAAATTACTTCAGTCATCGGAAAGGCGTAGTGGATAAATTACGGATGAAATGTAAAAAGTCACCACAATAGTGTTCTTTTGTCCTCTTAAAATGTTTCTTCCTCTCAGTCGATCATGCAAAAGAATATACTATTTCACTCCTTCTGGGTTTGCCGGATGTAAGTGGTTACAGGTTTTTTTTAGTGACCATGAAAAGCATGGAGAAACTGACGTAAAACAGATTGTTAAAGAAGGCTATGTGTGTCGTTATGCATACAGGATTCCCCACGATGAGGTAAGGGAGGTGAAGGAGAAATTGAGAATAATTTGGAGGGAAAGTTAGCTGTGATATAGAATATTTTGTTGGTTTAACTATTTTTCTTTTGCTTCTTCAGTAAAGACGGTTTGGATGCTGAAAGTCAAATCATTAATAGATGGAAGAGCTGCATAGTCTTCTGTTTTGCATTTTTATTTTGTCTTGGTTTGTAGCAGGACCATGAAGAGAAATTTTAAGAATGCAAGTTTTATTCTCTTTCCGTGTTTTACCCTCGAGCTACAGCACTTTTGACTACAACTACCCACAAAGAGGAGATTCTGTCAGAGGGAGGGGGGATGTGAACCGTTTTTATAGGTTTCATCCTCCAAGACAGCTGCCAAGGAGGTCAGATGCTTCTCTATGGAGCAGGAAATGCAAGTCTCCCTAAAAGGAAAAAAGCAGGATGCGATTTTATGTAAAAGACAGGAGAACAGGGTAAAACTGAACTAAAAAAAGGAATTGCTCTGTATGTGGGGCAGTTGCCTTTAGTAAGATCCTAAGGATTAGATTTGTAGCTCCCAAGGAGGTAAGTGAGTCGCTGTAGATGTCTGTCTCTTAGGTGGGCTTGAAGAATCAAAGAGAAATGAGTTTTAGTTTGAATATAGAAAATGTAGACTCTGTCACTGGGCTGAAGGAGGAGCAAATGGCTTTTCACCCACAAGAGTATTCCACAAACTCATATTCTTTTCTCTTCTTCATTCTGATTTTTTTTTTTTGCCTCCCCCCTTTTATTTCCCTCAGAATTTGTATTAAATTCGTTACACGTTCTTCAGGGAGAGAGGTTCTCAAGGGTTTAATCGACTTGTAAGATGCTATGAATAAAAAAAGGGGGGGATAGGAATTCACCATTGCTTCGTTGGACTAAACTATAGCTCATCTCAATATACCCTTCTCCTCCAGGAAGCTCTGAGTCTCCAAGGCCTTTATTAACTTGATCTTTGGGAATAGTGTTTTAATTTTTTCCATAATCATCATGCAAATTGATCATGATAATCTCTGGAAAGGAAAATGAGTGAACCAATGGCCTCATTAATTCCAATGCTAGGGGGACCCACGTTCCTAAGAGCTGGGACCTTAGCCCACAGTGGCCAAGGCCTTCTTTGTGTATGCATTGGTCTGGTCCCCAGGGCAAGTATGGCTTGTTCCTTGCCTGGCCTGTTTAAATTGCCTCATGCATTCACTTCCTCACAAAATAATGAGGGAATAATTTGAAAGGTTCCAACCTTACAAAAGAAACAATTGTGTTCTGCTAGATTCCAGCCAGGATCTCTCTTCTATGACAGAACCATCCCATTGAGGTACATGTTTTATCTGGACCTTACCTTAAAGACACTGAGGTCTCAAACTGCTAAACTTTGGACACTAAATGGAATCAGCATTAAAATGTATGGCAGAGATTCATCATTTCAAATGCTGTTCTGCTGAATTAGGAAGGCTTTTTAAAGAGTGTTTTAATTTTAATTTAACCTGGTGAATGGCAGAGACAAATAGATCTGTCCAAAATATACTTAGTAACAGATTTTTGAGTCGGTTATTAATTTAATGTAAGTGGTTCCTCTTTTTATTTTTATAAACTGTAAAATTCAGGAGAAAGCGGAATCAAATGTAATATACTTTTATTGATTGCCCGCTATGTGCCAAGCAAGGTGTTAAATACTTTCAAATGCTGGCTCATTTATCCTCATCTTACAGATGAGGAAAAGGGGGTGTGAAGAGGTGAAACAGCTTGCCCAACTGGAAAGCGGCAGAGGCATTTACAGATCTGCCTCATCGTTAAAAAAGATTTGAGGCAACTCTTTGAAAATTAACTTCTTCAGAGCTATGTAGAGCTAGACTGGTTCTCAGTGGACCTTGCCCTACCCTTGAGGAGTAAGAAGTTACTATAGTTCTTGGAGCCATTGGGTACCATAAACCTCTGGATGAGAATAGTTACTCAATGGGTATCCAGAATGGTGCCTGGTACCTAACGGTGCCTTCCACTGATTAACTGTATCTGTGGCTGAGAAATATATCTCTTCCTCTTTTGGGGAAGATTACTCTCTTCTAGTGAGATACAGATGGAGGAGGTGCTCATCAAGTTGGGGTGGGGAGGAAGGGAGGTGCTAGATGGATTAGCTGAACAAATCTAGCTTCTCAAGAGAGAGCAGGGCCACAGGTACGTCTCCCTTTGTAATAGCCCTTTATCTCAGCTGCAACCCATCCAGGTTACATGTACTTTAAAGTCATTTTGACCTTGCTCGAAAAATTTTATAGCAAATACACCTCGACACCTACCATCTGTAAGGTGTATTCATTAGAATACAATGAAATATACCTTCAATTAACATTTATTGAGTTTCTTCTGCACGTTGGGAATTATACTAGGTGCTGCAGATACAAAGATAAAAGGGCCTAATAATCTTGTAAAGAAAGTGGACTTAGGAACAAATGTGTGCAATCTTAGAAAGAGGACCCACAGCAGAGCAAGCACAAGGAGGGACTTGAGAAAGGCTTTAGAGAGGCAGTAATATTTGAGGTGGGTCTTGCAGTTATTAGGAAGAGGTCTTCAGATTGAAAAATTGGGGTAAATACATTCGATTTTGAAGGCACTACATGTTTAACGTGACAAAACGAGAGTATATTAGCATCTTGGTAATGGCTGTACAGACGTACAATTGGATTAGGAAGGTGGGGCCTCGTGGGGGAGAGCTGGCACTGCAGTTAATTTATCAGGTAGGATGGTATTTTCTCAAACTATGCTTAGAAATTTCCTTGAGATGTTAATTGGTATCATCTGGGAAAATGGGGTTTTAAGGCCAAATAAAATGTGGAGAACACTGTGTTAGGCAGTTGCATGGGGTTCTTCCCTACAGGACTATGCTACTCTGAGTTTTACGTTTCCCAGAGCTTGCCCTAAGCCTGTTTGTCCTTCCCTTTTCCCAGTGCTTACAGCGTTCCGTGGATCTCACAGTGGAAAATACTGCTTTAGGGTAGAGGCAGCTGGCGGCCTTCTTCAAGAAGTGAATGACTTGTACTTCAGAAAGAAACTTTAGGCATCTAGGAGGAAGAATGCCAGTGGCAAGAGACTGGGTGCAAAGTAACCTGTACGCAGGATGTTCAATCTTCCAGGCAAAAGAAAACCAGGATCAGACTGAAGGCACCGAAGACGTAAAGGAGGAGATGGAACTGAAAGATGCTTAGCAGGTGGAATGGATCCTCTGTGACCGTATGGAGGGTGAATGAGAAAAAAGATCTGAGGGTGATTCCCTAGTTTCTAGTTGGAAGCTTGGTAGCAAAGAGAAATGTTGGTAGAAGATGAGAAAAATAATTTAATTTAGGATGTGATGTAAATTGAGATGTCTGTAAGACCTATAGATAGAGCTGGTCAACTCAGCCAAGAATCAGAGATACTAATCTATAGCTCAAGACACCCATGAGTATAATTTTATCTTTCTGTGGTGCTTCAGATGACTCTTTATTATCTAGCAGTGTCTTACAGGTCATCCTAATTAAGTGTTGCTTGACCATAAACGTAGAACGACGCAGGTTAGAGAGAGCTGTGTTTAAAACAAAGCCAAATACAAATTATTGGTGAACTATATTTATTGAGATACTGGTGTGTGCCTAGCACAGCAACAGTGTGTAAGGAAAAAACAAGCAAACAAAAAATAAAGATAAATAAATAAATAAGAAAAAGAAAAAGCCACAACCCTTGCTCTAGAAACTTACTATCTTAGGCCTACGGAAGATATCATAAGGGGTCAGATTTTCTGTGTTAGGACCCTGGACCTTGCACTTGCTAGATGACCTGGGGTGAGCTATATAACTTTTTAAAGCTTAGGTTTTCTCATCTGTAAAATATTGTTTGCAGACTATCAGTATCTTCCTCATTAAGGAGTTGTGAGGATTGGCTAGGGTTAAACAAAAGTTTATTTATTGTATTTCGAATGTATAAAATAAATTTCTTTAGGAAATAATGTATGCATTGTGATCTATTTAATAAATTTTACTCTTATGTTATTTCATTTCCAGTTAATACCAAATAATAACCTGCCTATTTGAAATGCAAAAATCAAGCTGGTTTGAATTAAAGAAGTGTGAAAAATTCTTGGGTTGGCAAAATACGTAATGCTTTCATCAATTAAAAATAGGTAAAATGTGTTAAAAATAATGAAAAGTTGATGCTTTAATTGAACTGACTTTTTCATGAGCCTATATTTTTATGAAGCTTAATGAAACAAAAATTGAAATGGTGCCCATTATGAAATCTGTATTAATTGTTATTATTCCCATAAAGTTCACATGATTACAAAAAGTTTTGCAGATATGCCAACAAGAAATGTACAATACCGGCCTTTCATTTTCTCTGAATTTATTTTTGGTAATAAAGACCAATATTCACCTTGGCAAAGAGAACGTTTGCTAAATTGAAAACTTCCTTTAAACACACAAGAAACTTTTGACGTCAGATTGGCAAAATTGCAGGGTATTTTTGTCAAAACTGACAAAACTTTCCTTTTTTTTCTTAGCTTTGTCAGGAGCAGGACTGTTTCTCCACTTTACTGTCACTCCAATACTATCATAATCTTAAATATCGTTGTGCTAGAAGGCATTGCAATATTAATTAAAAATATAGTCTAATTATTTACCCTAGCTGGTTCGTACAAACCTCTACAGTATAATCAGTGGACTCCCTTAAGGGGCTTCCCGATATTTTGGAGTGAAATAGGAAGGTTTGCTCCTGACTGAGACTTGGCTCACGAGTGTAATTAAGTATAACCTACAATTCACCTTTAGGTCGCTAGATCAAATGTAGCTTATCTGGGCAATGTCTAAAGGTATGTGCTGATGTTGACTGACTACTGTTGGGCGGCATACATAAAGGAGGGGAACTTTTAATTTACGTCCAGGCATCTCAGAGAACATTCCGATTGTGTCTGGAGACAGAGGGAAAGTAGAGGGTGGCCAAATCGGGCATTCATTTTTGACAGTCCTCGAGACAAAGTGCCATAAAGCAAGCTTGGGAACGGCTCAGCTGGCTGAAGGTGTTTGGTGACAATCCCTTCCCACTACTGGCTTTAGCGCTAGCCTGGAGTTGCAGAGAAATATTTTCTAGCTGTTAGAGGTGTGGTGTGAAGACTCCTGGGGCGGAATCATCAGGGCATTGCCCTCTGGAAGCACCGCAGACAAATGTTTCCAGCACCGTGGTCAGATCTGTCTTTAAAATTTTATATCCTTGGGCTTCTCCGGCATTATTTAAAAGGGAGAAATTTCTTCCAGAAGGGGACTCAAAGGGTCCTTCACAAATAGGTCTTAGAAAGAATGACAGTAACAAACTGACTTACTGGCATAAAATGTCTAAATGTCACTCCCCACCCCCTTCAAATTCAAATGGATGTCGAAGAGACCTCCTCAGTTTGAAACATTGAATTGGCTGGCCTGAGGAAGAAGCGAACAGGGCGAGCAGCCACACAAAGTGGAAAGAGTCTGGGCAATGGGAAACGGTAGTAAAAATAGAATAACATTGGATTCTAGACATTGAAACTCATCAGAAGTCAGGGTGGCTGAACTGTACATTCACTGAGAGACACCGTGGAAGATGAGAAGAGAAAGATATTTTGGGCTATGTATGGAAGACTTTGAGTATCTTGACTATTCTTTTGAAATGTAAAACACAAATGTAAAGTGTAGTTTTACCTACATAAGCAATTCAGTAGAAAGATCTCACTCATAAGTAGAAGATAAAAACGACAAAAAAAACCCCCACATAGCATTGGAGATTGGACTGGTGGTTACCATTGGGGAAGGGGGGGGGGCAAAAGGGGTGATTAGGCTCACATGTGAGGGGATGCACTATAATTAGTGTTCGGGTGGTAAAAAAAAAAAAAAAAAGAAAAAGAAAAAGAAAAGATAAGTCTCAATTTGTCCAGAATCTGAACAGGGGGCAGGTATTTGCTATGACTTTCCTGATTGAATTCAATCTGAAATTTTGGCCAAGGACAGTTAAGAATTTGGAGTAGAAATAGGCACTGTTTCCTAATTCAATAGGTGTTAGCAGCCAGGAAGGTAAATCAAAATGCTAAAGATATATGTGAGGAAGACGGTAGACGATGCCTCCCTTGGCGTGATCTGTGAACAGAGAAAGGGATAAAGCAGCCAGGGATGGTGGTGTTTGGGTTTCTGCCTCGGAGAAGTGACAAATAGGATCCTTGCCAGTTGGAGA